TAAAAATAGCTCATTCATAAATTGTGTTTCCATACCCTTACACCTGTTAAGACTCAGGCAAGTGCCTCATTTATTTAGAGGTCAATTCAGCTCTAGATCCAGTACCAATATGATGTCTTGCTTATCTTAGCATGATGATGTCATCAAGCTTTCTGTGATAGCATTACCCTGCATGCACATTGAGAGCCCTTATCGAATAATCCTACATATTCAAAGGCTACCATTACAGAATGAATTATCTTTAAAAATAACCTGTTAGTTTTATGCAGTAGCTGCAGTCATTTTGTGGCTAGGATGACTGTAATTTTAGGCATGTAGCCTATAAAATCACTAGAAACTGTTTTTTATTATGAATATAACATAGGCCCTTTGAATACAGTATAAGATACTGTATATCAGAAAGGCATAACTAGAACCTTCCTGGCCCTGGTGAAAGAAACCATGAAGGACCCCACTGCTCCCTTTCCCCCCGAGCTCTTCCCATTGATCCTGGGACCCTTTACACCAATTGTGCTGCCACAGCTGGAACCTTTTACATGTACTGGAGTGGACCCCCATCCTACCATCTTGGGTAGGGTTGCTGCCTTTTCTTTAAGCCAGACCAGAACACTTTAGTGGCACATGGCCATTTTTTATTACACACTATACATACACTACTCAAAAAAAATTAAAAGAACACTTTTTATTCAGAGTATAGCATCAAGTCAATTAAACTCCTGGGATATTCATCTGGTCAGTTATGTAGCAGAGAGGGTTGTTAATCAGTTTCAGCTGCTCTGGTGTTAATGAAATTAACAACAGGTGCACTAGATGGGCAACAATGAGATGACCCCCAAAACAGGAATGGTTGTACAGGTGAAGGCCACTGCCTTTTTTTCCCTACTAATTTTTTCTGACTGTTTTTCACTAGTTTTGTATTTGGCTAGGGTCAGTGTTACTACTGGTAGCATGAGGCGATACCTGGACCCTACAGAGCTTGCACAGACAGTTCAGGATGGCACAACAATACGTGCCATTTCCAGAAGGTTTGCTGTGTCTCCCAGCACAGTCTCAAGAGCATGGAGGAGATTCCAAAAGACAGGCAGTTACTACACTAGGAGAGCTGGACAGGGTTGTAGAAGGTCCTTAGCCCATCAGCAGGACTGGTATTTGCTCCTTTGAGCAAGGAGGAACAGGATGAGCACTGCCAGAGCCCTACAAAATAACATCCAGCAGGCCACTGGTGTAAATGTCTCTGACCAAACAATCAGAAACAAATTTCATGAGCGTGGCCTGAGGGTCCGATGTCCTCTAGTGGGCCCTGTGCTCACTGCCCAGCACCATAGAGCATGATTGTCATTTGCCATTGAATACCAGAATTGGCAGGTCCGCCACTGGCACAGATGAGAGCAGGTTCACCCTGAGCACATGTGACAGACGTGAAAGGGTCTGGAGAAGCTGTGGAGAACGTTATGCTGCCTGTAACATCGTTCAACATGACAGTTTTGGTGGTGGGTCAGTGATGGTCTGGGGAGGCATATCCATGGAGGGACGCACAGACTTCTACAGGCTAGACAATGGCACCCTGACTGCTATTAGGTGTCGGGATGAAATCCTTGCACCCATTGTCAGACCCTAAGCTAGTGCAGTGTGACCTGGGTTCCTCCTTGTGCATGACAATGCCCAGACTCATGTGGCGAGAGTATGCAGTCAGTTCTTGGAGGATGAAGGAATTGATACCATTGAATGGCCCCCAACCTCGCCTGACCTAAATCCAATAGAACATCTCTGGGATATCATGTTTCGGTCCTTCAGCCACTGCGAGATTGCACCTCAGACTGTCCAGGAGGTGCACAGGGACACCATCCGTCATCTCATTAGGAGCATGCCCCCGATGTTGTCAGGCATGCATACAAGCACGTGGGGGCCATACAAACTACTGAGTACCGTTTTGAGTTGCTGCAATGAAATTTCACCAAAATGGACTAGCCTGCTGCATCATTTTTTCACGTTGATTTTCGTTTTGATTTTCGGGTGTCTTTGAATTCAGTCCTCTGTAGGTTGATAATTTTCATTTCCATCAAACGATGGGTCATCCTTACGATCGTAACACATTACACAGTCTACATCCAGCATATTTTCCCCCATTAAGATCTGATGTGTTTTTAAAGTGTTGAATTTTTTGAGCCGTGTATTTTTTGTGAATAAATAACATTTCTAATCATATGCATTTATTCACAAGAGTCCTACCTTTCATCAGAGTCTGCAAAACCCCCCCTTACAAATCAGAGTCTGCAGAGTGCCTATGACATCAGAGTCTGGACAGCGCCCCTGACATCAAAGTCTACAGAGCCCCCCTATATCAGAGTCTGAATAGCCCCCCCTTACCTAAGAGTCTGCAGAGTGTCCCTTACATCAGAGTCTACAGGGCCCTCCTGACATCAGAGTCTGCAGAGCACCCCTTACATCAGTGTTCACAGAGCGCCCCTTACAATAAAGTCTGCAGCACTCCTTACATCAGAGTCTGCAGAACTCCCCTTACATCAGAGTCCACAGAGCCCCCCCTTATATTAAAATCTGCAGGACCCCCCTACATCAGAGTCCACAGAGCTTCCCTTACATCAGAGTCTGCAGAGGCCCCTTACATCAGAGTCCACAGAACTCCCCTACATCAGAGTGCACAGAATTTCCACCTACACTGTAAGTGGAATCTCTGTGGACTCTGGAATGTAAAGGGGAAGTGGATCTCTGCTCATCAGTATACGCATCAACATGCCTGTGTTAGTTTTTAATCAATCCATGAAACCTTTGGGATCCTTAGCCAAGGATGTACATGGGTCATCCACTTCTGCTCAAGTGGAGATGAACCTTCCACTAATGGTAAGCACCATCACCTGACCATTAAAGTGACAAGCCACAATTTCAATAATAGAGGCTCCCATATGGAAGAAAAATATATTTGAAATATATATTTCAAAAATATTCTTCCCAAATATATTGACATATATTTGAAATGCTACAATTTTGGCCATATTCAATATATTTCAAAATATATATTCAAGATATATATATATATATATATATATTGTATGTTGAAATGCGCTTTTATTACAAGATATATGAAAAATATTTGTAAAAATACATTTCAAATATACTGTATGTCTTTAAAAATACAAATCTACATTTTTTTAATGCATTAACAAATAAATGTAAAAATATATGTTAAAATTACTTTTTTATAAGTTAAAAAAAATCTTAAGAATATATTTTAAAAAATATATATTTTTGTAAATGCATTCCAAAAATGCAGATTTGTATTTTTAAAGACATACAGTATATTTGAAATGTACTTTTAAAAATATTTTTCATATATTTTGTAATAAAAACGTATTTCAACATACAGTGTGTGTGTGTGTATATATATATATTTATTTATTGAAACATATTTTGAAACATATTGAATGTGGCCAAAATTGTAGCATTTCAAATATATGTTAATATATTTGGTAAGAATATTTGTAAAATACATTTCAAATATATTTTTCTTCCATGTGGGATGGCACTGGACAATTATATGAGAGCGGTCAGGCCTTTGAACGGGGACCTTAGAAACATTTTATTTCAAGTTCACTTAAAAAATATGATTTTTTAAAATCTAATTCTTGCAATGTTTATACCTCTAAAACTAGGGAGTCTAAAAGTGCTGCAAAAACAGTACACTACACAAGTCTTGCTGACTGGTTATATGAAGTGATGCTAAGGCATTTTTCCAGTATACACATTATAGCTCTATGCAAATAAATCTGCTGCATATTCAAATGTATGTTCTATGGTGTGAACAGACAGTGCTTCATAACAGCAAGCAGTTGTCACATTTTATTACTCCTTAATATGGAAATGGAAATGCTTAATTATTTCTGTACATTTCTTAAGTCGTCTGCAACCTGCTTATAACTCTAGTGAAGATTTTTCAGTTAATATTTCCTGGAGCAGAAGACCAGAGACTGACTTGAACTTGTTCTTTGTTAAATACGTTTGTAAATCAGAATAATGAGTTCACAAGGCACAAAAATGTGTAGTTTTCAATTCAATAGGTGGACAAGGTTTATGCTTTGACTGTTTCTTTGTTCTTTAATAGACCAATTTCACATGCTGTCAGTTATGACTGATTGCTACTGAGCTCTACATTATAGAAACGGGATATGTTAACACATCCATTCCCCTCTCTTCCTGGAGGGCTTGCTGCATTGCCAAGGAGGTTTACAATTTCATTTTCTTGTGTCGAACTTCTCCTGCTTGAATTATGGGAAAAACAGAAACTGTTAAAATTTAAACTTGAAAAACATCATTTAAAACATGATAAAATCACCATACTGTCACATGAAACATACATGTGCTGATTTCATATGGAATTTCACAGAACGACCGTGATGTATAAATTGTTGTAAACTATAGCAACCAGATTGCAGTTCCCTGATGTCACGTCTTTGAAAAAATGTATTTGGATGTTTGCTTTCTGTCTTGCTGAATAAATCTACTGAATAATGGCCATTCTGCATCATTAGAAAAACTGCATTACAAGATTGTCCCAGCCTGCTACTTAAAATTGATTTCAATTGTCATTTAAACCATTTGGAGGTAAAATACAAAAAAAAACATTTACTTAAAGTTCTGTTTTTTTACTGCTTGTACTCTCCAAGTTTATTTAAAATGCATTTCTGTTCTCCCTGGAGTTTATACTTTGTTTCCTTAACAAATATATTTAGACTGTGAAAAGGCCCTTTAGCAACCACTAGTCATCCTTTCTACTTGGATAAATTGAAAAGAAATCACTGACATTTACTATGTCAACATTGGCTGCTGTGAACAGGACCATACATTGAATGATTTCCAACTAGGAGAAACCAGTTTAGGCCTAATCTGGCAAAAATGGGGAAAGGTTCGTTTCCTGAACTATTTGAAATGTGTATATCTCAGTGAATATATTGCCTACAATCTATTTTGGTTACAGTGGAGAAGGATTACTCTTTAGATTGTAAGCTCCATGAGCAAGGCCCTCCTATTCCTTCTGTATTGAACTGTATTCTAATTGTATTGTCTCCCTTTCTATTGTAAAGCGCTGAGAAAACTGTTGGCGCTATATAAATCCTGTATAATAATAATATTAATAACTCTTGGAAGTGAATTGAAAATAAAATTGACAGGGACTCTAACATTACCCTATTATAGAAAAAAAGCATTTCCATTTCAGTCAACAGGACAGGAAGTGAGGGTAATTCTCTTTTATTCTTGAACTTACCCCAAATCAGATAATTCAGAGTATCTCCAGCAATGTACACCAATGCTGCCAGTATATTACTGCTCAATAAAAATAATATAAAACCAAATGGATTTAATAATCCCAGAAAAGGGTAAACCCAGTTGCCATCAGCGATGTAAATCCAAAGAACCCTACAAATGAGAAAAATAACAAAAGAAATAATGTTTAAACCAACAGTGTATTTAATAAAAGTAAGACGACAGAAGGAAAACTAAAACTGGCAACCGTGATTTGTGTCCAACAATCCTGAAAACTAAATGAACAAAGCTGAGAGAATGTGACGCCTTTTAATGGCTACAGCAAAAACACAATCTTAAAAACTGTCATGTAGAAAAGAATGTACATTTCAAAACATAAGTAGGCATCAGAAACATCAATATAAATTTACTAAGGAAAAGACAGATTGGCTTTAACCGCTTCCCACCCGGCCTATTGACAAATGACAGCTGAGCAGGAACTTTCTGAGGACATCATATGATGTTCTCCCAGCCAAAATGCTGCATGATCTATCACCCATTATGACCACGAGATGCAGCAGATGACAGATCATTGTACCAGGCCAGTACCAGGTGATCACTGTGACTAATCACAACAATCACATGACATTTGTACACAAAGAATGGTATAATGTACTATCGTGATGTACTATCATGATTTTTGTAATTGGCCAGTGATCACATGGTACAGACAGGTCCAATCACAGCACATCTGTACCATGTAAAAGCTGTGACCAATCACAGCTCTCACAGTAGTACATATTGGCTATGGATGGATGCTTTTGATTAAAATAATTGCTTATAACAGTGATCATCACTGTTATAAGCAATCATAGTGGAAAAAAAAATCCTGATCACCTCGCCACAGAAGTACAGTATAACTATGGTAATACTGCACTGCTCTGGTCACAGTATTAACCACTTCCAGACCGGACACTTTTACCCCCTTCCTGACCAGGGCAATTTTCAGCTTTCAGCGCTATCACACTTTGAATGACAATTGCGCGGTCCTGCAACACTGTACCCATATTAATTTTTTATCATTTTTTTGAGACAGATAAAGCTTTATTTTGGTGGTATTTATTCACCGCTGGGGGTTTTATTTTTTTTGCTTTGTAAATGAAAACGTCAAAAATTTTTTTAAAAAAGTGTTTTTTTAAATAAACGTTTGCAAATAAATAATATTTCATCATAAATCTTTGCCAAAATGTATTCCGTTATCTTTTTAGTAAAAAAAAAAAATCCAAATTAGTTTATAACCAAAAATTATAATTTTTAAACATTTTTTTTTCATTTTTATTTTTTTTTTGTTTATATTATTATTTTTTTTACATACTGTCACCCTAGCAGTACAGTGTCACCATTTGTGGGGGGTGATGAAGATTTTTTTTTTTTTTTTATTACACTGATTGCTTTTACACCCATATAGGATGTAAAAGCAATCATTTCTCTTTCTCTCTGTGTGCATTCTTGCACTCATTGAGAAGTACTGAGTGAGCTGTGATTGGTCACAGCCTGTCACATGGAACAAGGCTGTTGTGATCATTCACAGATTTCACACGTAGTAAGCAATGATGTCACGAGTGACATCTTGCTTACTACTTTGCATGTGATCACTGATTGGCCAATCAGTGATCACATGATTGGGACATCGTACAGAGGTCCCGTCCGACGATCGGTGTTTCACTGTGTCCGGAGGACACAGCAGGCACCGAGTTGCAGTGCTGCACGCTCCGAGGGAGTGCGCACAAGCAGGGGGCGGGGAGGCCATTTATAAACGGCCACCCGACTCTGCACTGCCACCGTCCGGCCGTTTATATGCAACGGCCGGTTGGGAAGTGGTTAAAAAAAATTTAAAAACTGAAAAAAATTGTAACAAAAAAAAAAAGTTTTAATAAATTGAAAAAAATAATTATTTATTTATTTTTACATAGTGCCACCAGTCAGTAAGTTTGATCACTGCCACACCAGTTATATGATAACACTGTACTGCTTTTGTGACAGTATGTAAAAAAAATTAGAAAATGAAGAAATTAAATAAAATTTGTTTTTTTTTTCCCACAAACAATTGTGAAAAAAATGACAACTTCAAAAAAGTTGCCACCCCTCTTGCTAAATACCTCAAAGTCTGCTTTCTGAAAAGGGGTCATTTGGGGGTAATTTTACTGTCCTGTCATTTTAGGGACTCACGAAATGAGATAGGCCATCAGTAGATCAGGAATGATCAATTTTCAAAAAAAAATATATATATATATATATATATATATATAAAGACTGATTTTGGTTTATTGTTAACAAAAAAATGTAGAATACATTTTGTCCTAAATTTATGAAGAAAGATTATTTGCACAAGTTTATAACAGAGATGAAGAAAATGTGGGTTTTTTTTTTTCAAAATGTTCAGTATTTTTTCATTTATATAGCAAAAAAATAAAAACCTCAGTGGTGCAGCCCATCAGTTCAGCCTGTCAGTGCCCATCAGTGCAGCCCCATCAGTGCACATCAGTGAAAAATCACTTATTTGCAAAATTGTATAACAAAAGCAAAGAGGGCTTTTTTTTCAAAAATTTCGATCTTGTTTTGTTTGCTTAGCAAAGAAAATAATGTTGATTAAATATCACCAAAAAAAAGCTCTATGTGCCTCAAAAAATAATAAAAATTTCATTTGGGTACAGTGTTGCATAACTAAGTAATTGGAATTCAAAGTGTGTAAATGTGAAAATTGGCCTGGGCAGGAAGGGGATGAACGTATCTGGTGTTGAATTGGTTAAAATTAATTTGGAACAGAAAAGGTTTTGGTTTCAGTTATATAAATATGTGCATCTTATTTGCACGGTTTTAGCTATATTATTATTGTAAGTACAATGATATAAATTTTATCTTTCTGTTTTTGCCACCATAATCTGTATATACATTTCTAAATACTAACAAGTAGCTGCTTGTATCACATTCTCTACATGTAATTTAGTTAATATCATTAAATTATACCCAGAGTTTAATATGTGCAACGTAAAAGCTGTGTTCCAGTAATTTTCATTTACATGTATAATCATAAGAGACACACAAGTAAACAGAGCGGCTGACTTGTCTGTAATCTTTAGTTTATTGACTTCTCTTAGTCATCCATAATTCAGGGGAAACCTGCAGAGAGCTCCCATGTGGATTCTTTAATACACTCAATGCTGCTTTGTCTTGATGTTTTGCTAAATATAAATATCATGCTAAAGGTAATGTAACAATAAAATGCAATCTTGCAAAATAATAGTAATAGCCTTCATCTAGGTATAATATAGGTAAAAGCACAAAATATTTCTCAAAATAAAAATAAATTACACATTTAATCTTCACTTTGTCCTCTGTCGAAGTTTACTTTGGTCTTATAGTCTAATTCCATCTTTCCTTTCACTTTAAATAGTTTGTTTGGGCCAGCCTGCTACTCATTGCTGCGAGCTCTGTATAAGCTATATGTAGCATCAGCTACCTTCCATTTGCATCGCTGTTTTCTGGCATTGCCATTGGGGACTTCCTTTCCGCTGACACAAAACTAAATTAGGAGTGATTCATAGCCATTCACAAAAAGGCTTGTATTTTTATCCATAAATACAAGACTTCCTCTGAATGGCTGAGGTGGAGAGAAAGGCAGATGACATCACATTCTCCACCTCAACCATTCAGAGGAAGCCTTGTATGCATTGATACAAATACAATTCTTTGGCTGAGAAGCACTCAACCTGGTTCTATGTTGTTCCAACAGCAAAAGGGAAGTCCGCGTACTGTCAGAACACAGCGCCACATACTGGTTGTAGATGATGCTACATATAGTTAACACAGCACTGACAGCAGCTGCAGCAACTAGTAAAGGAAATGGTTTGTTTGAACCAGCTTGGCCAAAACAAACTACTTAAAGTAAAAGGAAATATGGAGTTTAGGCTTTATTTGGATGATATTTCTCACTGCTGGAGAGAGGGCATAAGGTTTGCCTTTTACACCCAAAACAGAATAAGTGTTTATAGTGTCAGTCAACAGAGGTTAATTTTTTTTATATTGCTCCTTGTACTAGATTAATTCAATGCCTCAAAGACATAAAGTAATAGTTTTTCTTTTTATAGTACTTGAATTCTAACATTTTGGGTATACAAACAAAAATACCAAAAGAAACACTGCAGAAAAAAAAAACTTCATAGAGAATGTTTAACTGAAGAGTATGCAAACCCAACATTTCATATTCCTGATATGTGCCTGCTGTACCATGTACTTGTATGAAAAAGTATCCTGTTATTTTTGTATTGCTTCCATTGTGTGAAATCTCTTGTGTTCCTCCCAGTCCCTCTGCTTTCTTATTAAAAACTGACCACATTAGACAGGACAGCACACCGTGCTCAGTTCTCTAGCTGTGCTGGGAACTCAGCCTGCTCTCCTCCAATGATCAGACTTCTGTTTACACCTCCACCTCCACCTCCCTTGCACAGCCATTTACTGGGAAGTTCAGTGATATGCTGTTTCACTCCCCCAGCTCTCTGTTCCTAGCTGCACAAAGAGCTTTGAGGGAGTGTGATCACTTATAAAACAGGGAAAAAGGGGAAAAAGAAAATTTCTACACTGCCAAAAAAAATTAAAGGAACACTTTGAAAACACATCAGATCTCAATGGATAAAATATGCTGGATATCTATACTGATATGGACTGGGTAATGTGTTAAGAATGTAAGGATGCCCCATCGTTTGATAGAAATGATCAACCTACAGAGGACTGAATTCAAAGACACCCCAAAAATCAAAGTGAAAAAATGATGCATCAGGCTAGTCCATTTTACTGAAATTTCATTCAACTCAAAATGGTACTCAGTAGTTTGTATGGCCCCCATGTACTTGTATGCATGCCTGACCTAATGAGACGACAGATGGTGTCCTGGGGTATTTCCACCCAGATCTGGACCAGGGCATCACTGAGCTCCTAGACAGTCTGAGGTGCAACCTGGCGGTGTCGGATGGACCGAAACATGATATCCCAGAGGTGTTCTATTGGATTTAGGTCAAGCGAATGTGGGGGCCATTCAACGGTATCAATTCCTTCATCCTCCAGGAACTGCCGGCATACTCTCTCCACATGAGGTCAGGCATTGTTGTGCACTAGGA